CAAACTGTCTGATAAGAATCCCCCCCTCAGATAGGGCCACATCACCCTGGGCACAGAGAGAACTGCTCCTGTCTGTGCTCCTGCACTCTGAAGATGCTGGCCACAGGTGCTGGCAAAATGTTAGGAAACAAAACTTCCAGAAAACGGCCACACAGCCCAGAAGACCCACACTAGCCATTGCCAGTTATAACTTATATGGCTTGGGGTCTGATTATCTTCAGGAGTACCTATTCCAAGTAGAATCAAACAGCTCAAGATTTGTCGGCAGAGGATGCATGTTAAAAGCACGCACACACACACACATACACTTTGCCCTGTGAGGTACAACACAAGGAAGGTTGGAACCAAGCATTCTCTGCTGGCCTCCCTTTATGGAATAGTTTCCCCCACATGAGAATAGCACTTGATTTTTCAGAAATGGTTGAAGAGTTAGTCCTTTGGGGACTGAGGACAGTATTAAGTATGTTATCCTGGGATGAGATATGAGCGTGGTAATAATTGGATTATTGTATTTATTGTGTTATTTTTGTATGTTTAAATGATATGAATTTTTATTGGTTACTTATAATTCTATCTGATGATGATAATCCTATTTACTACAGATCCTTCAATTCTGTTTGTTTGATTGAGGTAGTATAGAAGCCCAAGTATAAGTTTTCTACAAATAAATAAATTGCACCATCTCCAGCCAACATGACCCTGCTGATCAGAGATGATAGCTCTCTTCAAAACATTTGGATGGTATCAGACTCAGTTTGACTGAATTAGGGGATAGAACAACATTTCTCCTTAATAGGCAGCAATAGGAAATATTGATCATTCTAGCAGTCACTCATTTATTAAACTACCGCTTGCTTAATCACATTTGGTTAAGCCACAATTGACTGGGTTTGCATCACACACCACATGACAAGGCGGATGAATGAAGCCCCCAGGTGGTCACTCCTTCCTGGCCCTCCTTCTGGGACGCTCCACTTCCTTGTCCAGTTGTGTAGGCCAGGGTTCCTCAACCTGGGCAACTTTAAGACGGGTGGACT